GTTGGGTATTCGGATACCAGCAGGAACCCTGCGTCAATTTGTTTGGTGACCTCTTCTTTAATCTTAAGGGCCCAGTCCGGGCAGATCCTTCTGAGTTTCTGTTTAACGGGTCAGGCTTCGGGGTCAAGAGGGATCCAGTGCTGTACAATCTCAAGATCAACTCCAGGCATGTCTTCGTAGGACCACGCAAAAACATCTTTGAAATCTTTTAATAAAGCGACTAAGCGCTCGCGTTCCTCTGAAGACAACGTGGACCCGATCTGGACCAGCCGCGAGTCTTCCTCAGTACCAACATTAACAGTAGTGATTTTATCAACTAATGGTTTAACAAATCTTTCCTTCTCTTGATCAATTAAGTGTTGCAAAATCAGAGGAATTTCTTCCTCGTCATTTTCATCAAAATTTTGAAAGTCCTGGTTAATAAAATAAATCAAGGGCACAGAAAAGTACTCAAAAACCACATCCATTCCATTCTCATTAAGCATTTCCAAATCGTCAGATTCTTCTGTTACAAAAGACTCAAAAGAAAAAGAAAAAGATGACCTGGATAGGACTGTGGTATCCGAGTTATCACCCCCAGAAGTACCGAACTCAGACTCAGACGAGTTGGAACCTGATTCTGACTCATCAAATTCGGTGGAATCAGATTCCGGCTCACTACCTGACCCGGTGCTGCTTGACAAAAATCCCTCCTCGTACTGCCAGATGAGAGAGGGTGCAATGGATGCATCCAAAATGTTTGATGGTAGGCTCGCAGCCATTTCATTCCGATCATGGACACCGAGAAGTTATCCCCCAAGCACTTCTGTTCGATCGGAGGATCTGAAAGTAGACAAGCCAGTGCTACCCCCATTTCAATTTCAGCGTCCTCAGACTCCACTTTCTTGCTCTGCTCAGTCTCAGCTAATGGATCCGTCTGCTTTTCGACAACGTCATCCCCAGATAACTGCAGGTCGAAGAAGATCTCAAACCCTGGCACGTGCTTCCTCTCCGCGTTCAACCATGGCTCTGGGAAGCTGCAGAACGGAAAATCCTCCCTCTCCCGGATGAAGCGTCCGTTTAGGGTACCCTGAATAGGCCGGTGCATCAACTCAAAAGGCCTCCCTGCCTGCTTTGCTCTAGCTCTCCCAACCATTTCCTTACTTTTTCACACCCAATCCTCTTTGGTAGGCAGATAACCCAAGCCAAAGGTATGTGGGTTGTGTGGCACTTCGGCCAATGCTGCAACGCCCTTCCGGCCATTCTTTCCCAATCCCATCCCGGGGATGTGTTGAAGCTTGTTCATGAGGTATACTGATTGTGCACTAACATACACCCCCTTATTGACAGCTAAGATGTTTTGTACGACCTGGGCCTCAGCCAGGGTAAAACCCGACATGAACATATCCTCCATATCGTGCTCAATTTCCAAAACTGACATAGATACTTCTGGCGGTGGATGGATCGAGGAATTTCCAAAAACGATGGCTACTCCCTTCCCATGGGGGAATTTCACCATCTGATGCAAAGTGGACGAAATTGCCTTTACTTGGTGCAACCACGGCCGTCCCAAAAGTAGATTGAAGGTCGCAGGAACTTCTAAGACGTGAAAGTCTACCTCATGCTGTCCCGGCCCAACCTTGGTCTAAATTTTCACTATCCCCATTACTTCTCTACTTGTGTTATCATATGCCCGAATCACCTGGGCTGTCGGCACAAAGTCCGCGGTCTTTAAACCGATTGCATATGCAGTCCTTGCCAGGCACACATTGATGGCGGACCCCGTGTCGACAAGCACCACAGGTATCCATTTGTTTTTGCACTCCACAGAGATGTAGAGTGGCTTGTTATGGTTCGCACCCTCAAGTGGCAATTCTTTGTCGGAGAAAGTCAACATTGGGGTAGCCCCTCCCGGAAAAACTAGGCCCACCAGCTGTTCAGGCGTGGTGTCTATTGAGAGCTTGGCCTTATCCATGACCGATAAGACAGCTTGTCGATGCACTCGTGATGCCATAAGCAGTCCCAGATGGAGATGTCTGCCTGTATCTTTTTCAACTGCTTTAGTACAGTCTCTTCTTCGAGTTGCTTCTCTTTCTGTTTCTCCACCTCCTTATCTTTCCCAGACACCTCTGGCTGATCTAGATGTAGGGGCTTGAAATACCGCCTGCTTCTAGTCATATGATCGACTTCGCCGATGTACCAGGTATCGTCTGGTTGATTGCTCCCCCAATCCTCATCCGTGTGGGCAAGACATAGATCATCGTCCTCCCACCACATTCCATCAGTAGCCAACAGACACCTGTTTGGCTCCGGTCCCACTGTCCTTGTACTCGCAGTACCTTCTGTCCACATGCTGGCGACATTCTCTATCCTCGTGCACACAGTACTTTCAGTCCCTATGGGGGCCTTGGCTTTTCTGATTCTCTCAAATTCTTCGATTCCTTTTTGTTCCAACTGCGTCAGTACAGCTGGCTGCTCTACAATTCTTGTATTCAAAATGCCCAGACCCTGAGCGAAATTCTTAGCACCGGCACTCTCCGGCGGTGCATTCTAATCTTTGGCCCTTCCGGCCACAATAGATGTCCTTGCCCCTGCCAGGCCCTGTTCCAACTGAGATTCTTCAACAACGTCTGGTAGGTCATCAAGCCATCTGGTAACCTCTGCTGACTCTTCAAAATCAGACCAGTTGACTGCCATGCCTTCTGGATCTTGTTCATTGAAAAACTGGAGGTTAGCAAAATCTCCCTCCATAGCTGCCAAGTCATCTATCCTCTAACCAAATCCATCCCCCTGTATCACACAAAACTCTGCCCCTGCCAGCAATTCCACATTTGGCCCAACCTGGCCTACTGACAGAATGTAGTCACTTGGAGTGTATACTTCCTCAGCAAAACTCCCAGATTCCTCAGATTCTAACTCAACAATCCCACTCTGTACTGAAGTCTCCCCTGTTCTGTCTTCGACAGTCACCACCATTGGTTCGGGTTGGGTTCTGGAGATGTCCAACATGCACAAGTCAGTGCAGTCAGGAAGGAGCACCTCCAGCTTAGGTAGATGGGAAGGAATGATGTATATGCTGGGGTCGTATACCGTAACCCCGGTCTGGATAAAGTTGATACGTTTGGGGGTGGAGTTTGGTTGTGTGGTGGGAGAGGGTTCGTTGTGACATTGGGTTTCTTTGGAGGCATGATCACCCCATTATCGATGAGATCCTGAATCTCATGGCGTAATCAAAAGCACTGGCCAGTGTCATGACCGTGCTGTTGGTGAAATGAGCAGTATTTGGCCGGGTTATGGGAAGGGGGGAGTTTTTCTGGTAATGGCCGCGGCTCTAGGGGCTTCAAGTGCCCTTTTTTGATTAAAACCCCCAGAGCTTTGGACAGGGGCATATATAATGGAGCGAAGGTTCTTTGGCTTTTGGATGGGTATCTAGC